ATTGGAGGGGTTTTTTTTTTTTTTTTTTTTTTTTTTTTTTTTTTTTTTTTTTTCGTTGGAGGTGTTACGAGCAACATCCAATAAATAGGCCTCCCATGTAGACGGGGTTAATGATGACCATTAATCTATTGGTGGGGAGAGGCACCTGCTGAAAACCGGGTTCAGTGTCCCATTACACAAGACATGTCAAGTAGAGATTGGGGCTAAATGTGCAACAAGCTGGATTATATATATATATCGGCAAACAGAGCTGCCCGGTAAACCGTAGGGCAGGGGGAGAGAGGGAGGGTGAAGAGGACAAGAAACGAGGCAAGGGTTGTGACAAACTGTTTCGTTGGAGTTTCACCTAGCTGCTGCGTCATCAATCAGGAGGAGGCTGAACCCTCCTATACAGTCTGCAGAATCCTCCCCTAACTGACTGATTACACTGTTAAGTGATAATCAACCTTAACCCCGGTTGTGGTTAAGCAATGAAGCATCACCGACTGCCGAACAGGGCCAACAACTGATAGCCTTCTGAGGAGGTGCGGACCACCAACCACTGCCCTCAAGGTACCTGTGACAAAAATCAAAGCAGACTCTATCACTCCCTCCCCCACACCAGATGAAAAACTCTACACACTGTCCCTTCACACCCCCCATCACGATCACAAGCCAGCAAAACACCCACGAAACAAAGTAGGGTATGTCCCAGCCAAAAAATACACTCCAGACACGCCGCTGGCACTAGAGGCACAGCATGGCCACGTAGTGACGGCCTCGACCACTGCCGCTTGACCTGACCGGAGAAAACCGTAGCAGGGTGCTAGCGAAGTCGCGGTATATATCGCCAAACAGAGCTGCCCGGTAAACCGCAGGCAGAGAGGGAGGGAGAAGAGGACAATAAACGAGGGGCTGTGGCAAACTGTACCTTGACGGCAGTGGTTGGTGCCCACCTCAGGGTCGTTGATGCTTAAAGCACCAGTACACCATAGATAGCCCCGTGGGTGTCAGCATGGAAGAGGTATCAGCATGGAAGAAGAAGAAGGAGGAGGAGGAGGAGGAGGAGGAGGAGGAGGAGGAGGAGGAGGAGGAGGAGGACGACGACGACGACGACGACGACGACGACGAAGAAGAAGAAGAAGAAGAAGAAGAAGAAGAAGAAGAAGAACGAAGAAGAAGAAGAAGAAGAAGAAGAAGAAGAAGAAGAAGAGAGAAGAACGAAGAAGAACGAAGGAAGAAGAACTGTCTCTCTCCCTCCCTCCCTCTCTCTCTCTCTCTCTCTGTGCAACTAACCCACTTACCTTGGCTGGCGGGTGACGCGCGATGGCAGGCGCATTGGTGGGCGTTGGCGGGGTCGTCGCAGCTGCCATCGCGTTCGCACACGGGCGAAGGAAGGCGTCGGGCAGGGTAAATGGGGTGACTCGCATGGGGGAGAGAACGAGGGCCGGTAGTTCCCGCCCTCGCTGATTTCAAATCGCGGCCCTTCTGGGCCCTCGATCTTGAAGATCGACGGCACAGATCGGCCCCGATTTTGTGAAATGTTGAAATCGGGCCTACCGACCCCCATTCTTTTTTCCCATCGGCCTGGACGGCCTCCTGTGGGGGCAAAAAGATCCCCCCGCGTCAAAATCGGCCGACCTTCCCCCCCCTTCAGTGACGCGCTGGGGTTGCCCGGTGGCCAACCAGGCAGGACAACCCGCCAGGCGGCCCGGCCCCCCCACCGGGCGACGACCAGGCCGCCGGGAGGCCCGGGGACCGGCCCTGAAGGACGTGGGTAGAGCGGAATGCCCTTTTGGGCCCAAATTTGTGTTGTGCCCCTGTCAGTCGGTGTTCAACTTCGCAATCTGGGCCTCCCTGATTGGGCGTTGGCCTTTTGCAATAGGGCCAGGGAAAAGCTGGCAAGTACTGGGGCATTTTGAAAAGTCGGATGGTACCTGGTAGGGGTATATTGCAAAGATGGGAGGGCCCTCCAAGCAACGCCAGGCGTATATTTCACAAATGAATTTTCTTTGTCGGAGGGGCATTCCGCTCTATTCACATCTTTTAGGGGCATTTTGGCATGTATCTCAACTTATGGGGATATTTTGCAAATTACCCCCATCTATATATATATATATATCGTCACAAACAGAACTGCCCGATATATATATATATATATCGTCAAATAGAACTGCCCGGTAAACCGTAGGCAGAGAGGGAGAATACATATATATATATATATATGATACATATACAGTTTATCACAGTCCCTCGTATATATATAAAAGACGTGCTGCGTAGCGCATTCAGGGCTTGACAAAACGAAAAAGAATGGCTTAGGGTTAGCACAATTCAAAAATGTGTCCCTGTCAGTCTGTTTGTGGCATTTAGTTTCCCCTCCCTCCCTCCCATTACACTCCAATCCAATTCATCCTGTCTTCCAAAGTCAAGTTCAGCTGTTCCTTTCAACCCCTTCAAGTCTCTGAAGGTTCATTGCTCAAACTCCAAAGAGTTTATTATAGTGAAAGGTGTCTTCTTTTCCTTTTCCATCAATCACTGAGCGACTTTATTCCAAAGCCATAACACGCAAATGGCGCAAAGCTACAAACTGTTTCTTTTTAGAGGTTAAGCACCCCAATGAATAGCATAAAACAATGCGGTCCCCACCACCGCACCCCTCTTCAGGATTAATCCCCCTTTTCATTGAGCTGGCAGCACGGCACGCCGTACCATCTTCCCCTCGAATAGAACGTACGCCGTCGTGCGCGGATAATATAGCCGTATCTGGTACGCCGTTCGGTCTGCGTACATCCATTCAGGCCTTGACAACAGCAGCAGCCCCACAACAGGAGCCACCTCCAACCGCGCTCAATCGTCTCTGTGCCAGAAAAATACCCAAACGACACATGATGGCTCTTGACAGCCCGATGCCGTGCTTCTTTCTCCACACAAACAAAGCTAGCAAAATCCTCTATTGCCAATCGGCGCCAATCGCCGAATATATCTTCATTTTCCAGTGTCGTCTGTTTTTCAAGAAGTGTACCAACAAATCACAAATCACGCAACTCGTATATGTCGCTGTGTTCACATTTCATGAAGTTACGATCAGTCGTGAAAGTATTATGAGATACATATATCAAGAAATTATTATGAGATACGTACATCATCAACATTAGTCACCCATTGAAGGAAGAAGAAGAAGAAGAAGAAGAAGAAGAAGAAGAAGAAGAAGAAGAAGAAGAAGAAGAGAAAGAAGAACGAAGAAGAAGAAGAAGAAGAAGAAGAAGAAGAAGAAGAAGAAGAAGAAGAAGAAGAAGAAGAAGAAGAAGAAGAAGAAGAAGAAGAAGAAGAGAGAAGCATGTGTTCTATGTTAAATTGATAACCCATTCGATTACATGGGTTAAATCGCTAACCCATTTAATCAAAGAAGGTCTGAGAACGAGAGAGATGGTGAGTGAAAGTAACTCACCGTTTTGAACACGCATGCCCACACCCCTCTTCTTACCAGATTGCTATGGGACAGACATAACACCGACAACACAAACCAGATCCTCCTCCTCCTCCTCCTCCTCCTCCTCCTATGTCTCCGAGTCGACTGGCACCCAAATGCAAGCCAGACGATCCGTATGCACTGAAGAATCAGGACGGACTGGTTGACCACTTACATCAGCAAATCATGCAGTTAAGCAGAATGGAAGAAGACCGATATCCGAGCCAGGTTCAGTCAGACAAGAATTAAAAAGCTGAAAATCACGTTGCTTCACTGGAGAAGCGATGTTTTGAGATGTATCACAGCACCAGGGATCCGGATGAACAAACTTCCACATCCGATTCAAGTCGCAATCAGAGGACGTACTCACACTAGCTCTAAATTAAATGTATCTGACCGCAGCAGTTACAGCCGAACCGGGACGTATCCGACCGCAATTACGTCCAGAAATAAGTAAAAGAAGTCCAGCGTGACTATGCCCCTCCTATGGTAGATCCGCCACTGCATACGGGTGAGATTGACCATGACCATCCGCGTCATCATCGGCTTCGCTGTGCAGCTATCATCCACATCACCGCCAGGTAAGCAACCACAGCATCCTTCGACTCGACACCGCACGACCATCGGATCGAAGACCGCAAGACCATCTCAGGATGGACAGCACATTGCCCGGCCTGGAAGGAAGAGACCCAAGACGGAGACTGGACTCCCGGGAACCAATCACGGAATCAGAGACGTCCATCAGTGCGAAACACTACCGAACCAGAAATTGCAACCCTGACACAGGCCATTACAAGAGCAGATGACGGGCCGACATTTTCCCCGACGGACAAGGCCAAACACGAAGACTACACCACAGGACGGGGGCCATCCAAGCAACAAATCCACTCGCCGGGACACAGTGCCAAAGCAGAAATTGACTTCCCGGAGCAGCCGCACGATCTCACCAGAGCGGAGGCGACATTACACCCCGAGAGACAGCAAGCAGTTCCACTCCCGCCGCCGCTGGAACAAGCTCAGAAACTCTCACTTCCACCGCCTCCGCCGCCGCCCGCCGCCCCACCGGCACATGCCCAAACAGACTGCGGGTTGGACAGGTAACATCACGATCGCAAAACCTATTCACAACCCTGCAGCTCTTCTGTATGCACAGACCATTGCAAACTTCGCCACCAATCGCTCGACACTGACCACTGACACCACACTCCCCTCCAGCAGGACTTCAGTATCCGCCCCGGGGTTGAAGGCCAAGAGTGCGTCCGCCGTTCAGAACGTACGTCCCTGGCCCACTCCTCAACCTAGCAACAGTGGCAACCTATTATTTGGGAGATCACCTCACAATCCTCCCCGACCTCCTGCTATCCTCTGACG